AACCCTTTGCATTCCACGGTATTTGTCCTTTTTTTTTCTCTGTCCGATAGGATGATTATGCAATCAGGGATGGATGAAACTCTGAATAAACCCTTTCTGCCAAAATAAACATCAACTTTGCAGTTTGAAATACTATAGTTTATTGTGCAATTGAGTTAAGAGTACGTGTAGACATGTCTTAGGTACACACTGTCCCCATGCTCTCACAGCACCTGTTCACGTATGTATATTCACATACTAAGGGTAAGTTCACAAACCCAACAAAGCTGTCATACGATTTGCAGAAAATGTCATTATGCAAGAGCAATGTATGAATGCATATGTGCTTTTTTAGAAATGTGCATAAAATGCTAATGTTATAGGCTCAAGTTGCACTATATGAGCTAGGCCGCGGCCTAGGTGGGCTGCATTTCTAGGCCACTGCATCGTTGAAGGCTGTTTCAGTCAAAAGGATTTTGAGGAGTTGAATTGCAAGGAGCATTTAAATACAAACAAATTTCCACTTTTGCATCATTTACTTTACTCTTTTGCTTGCAAGCTTACTCTTGTGTATTTTCTCTATCAGATGTCAAGCACTGACTCGTTTCATGTGATAAAACAGTCCTGGTAGACTGTCTTGTTTCGCATTATATAACACAAATGAGATGTTTATGTCCAGACACCCGTTCTAATAAGTGAATTCACCTACTTTAAGGCGCACCCATTGCTGACACACATGTTCAGTTGCAGTTACAGCATGTATGATCTCCATAGAAAAGCATTGCCAGTAATGCATTAGCAAATGAGCCAAATATCACCATGTTTAATGCCAAGTGTCAGCAAGAGAGGTAAGAAGCGCCTCGGCATTGGGCTGTGGAGCAGTGGAATTGCGTTCTCTGGAGTGATGGTGCTCTATCCAATAAGTTGGAGCTCTGGGATGAGTTGGAGCGTTTTTGTGGCTGAATGAAAACAAATTCTCTAAGAAGTGTCCCAACGTCTAGTCTAAAGCCTTCCCAGAAGAGTAGAGGCTGTTATCTTGCAAAGAGGGGACAACTTACTATTAATACCCTTGATTTCAGGAGAAACACTGGATGAGCAGGTGTCTACAAACTTTTGGACCTTATGTCCTATAGTTGTATACTCTGTAAAACGTCACTCAAACCTAACCAAATGTTGCACAACCTTCACAAATATTATTAATATCACAGATATTAAGGTCAAAGTCTGCTTTATTGTCATTTCTTCTCATCACAGATGAGTTTCTCCAGGACTATGTGCTACATTGAACATAAAACAGCTGCAGGCAACAGACAATAAATTCAACAAATGCAGACGATGACTATACAAACACCTAACAACAAACTCTTCTGTATGCGTGTATGATCTTTTCTGGAAATGTGCATAAATTGTTCAAGTAATACAACAGACACAACAATCAATTCCTGGAGACTAATGGGGTAAATTCTATTGGCAGCTACAACAATAGCATTGGTTTTGGCTCAAAAGATTATCGCTCTTGTCTTTGTGGTACATGCATCAAGGAAACACAAACCCCTGTGCTGATGCCAGAACCTGAAGTTTAGTCAGGTACGTGCTGATTACCATCAAGATAAAGTCAAGCATTTGTTGTTTTGGGCAGCGCATCCTCAGATCGGTTACCAAGCCACATGGATAGAAGACGCTTTCGACATGACATTTCTACATCTTTAAATGAATGACTTGGCAAAAAATCAAATTCGCACCATTTTCCCATTACGCCAAATATAGTTTATCAGGAAAGACATTTTTCTTCTTTAGTTCTCACACTGGAGCTGCAAGGCTAACACAGCTAGAAAGTAGTGGAAAATTACAGTCGTTTGCATCAGTTTGAACACCCCTGGTCAAATGACATGTTTTGTTGATTTCCTAAGTAAAAATACAGTAATACATAATCTACAGAGAACAACTTTAAATATTTATTTAGGTTTAACATCTTGGAATAAAATAAAAATACAATATAAAATGTGTCGTAACTTTTGCACAGGGATATTTTATTTCTTCAGAATGTTAAATTCAGCAAATAAACAGTGAGTGTGCATTAAAATGTGCAGAAGTGTGCTGTCTGTAGAGGATGTGTTAACTTATGTTCACTCATAGTCAACCACACGTCATTTGACCTGTTTGCCCAGACTTTTGCATATGACCGCATGTCTCGTGAGTGGAGTAAGATATATGTATATATATATATATATATATGAGTAATGTCCCTTACAAAAATGAGTTTCTATATTTTTTCAATATTTTTATTATATTGTCAAAAGGATAACATAATTTGTTTATTTGTTGTTATTATGTCAGGGGCCTCATAAAGATTGCTGCCAGCACCCCTGCACAATGAGCACAGTGCATTACCCCCTAGTAGTTACGCCACTGAATCCAACCAATTAGCAATTGGCAGACTGCATGCTTAAATCATTGCATTCTTTCTTCATACCACTGAGTTGTTAGGTAATCTCAAATAGCCTTGACGTGGTGATGCAGCTTGTTGCTGTATGACATACTATACATGAACAAGTCTATTTGAGATTACTTAACAACTTAGTGCAGTTTGAAGCCAGTGTGCAGTGAATTAGACATGTAATTTAGATAATGCTAATCAGACTCAGTTTGACCTTTCAGCTCCCGAAACTCAAGAAGGATCCACATACATGCAGCTGACATGTGAGAAACATGAGAGGAAGGTGGAAATTCTAAATTACCAAAGAAAAGGAAGAAATGCTTATGTGTCCGGTGAGCAACACTGAAGTGCTTAGCAGTGCAAAATGGAACAGGAACCAGACATAGGTTCTTAGGAACTCACCGCTGCTTCTTGAGAAAGTGGCTGGCCTCAGTCTCACACGTGACAACTGGTAGTGATGTTTTAAGCAACAGGGCCTATGCACGATCACCTGCACAGTCTCCTGCCTCGCCTTCCTCTTGATAATAAAGTGATTTTAAAAAGTTCACACTTTATTTTGATGGCCCTATAAATCATCTACAGATACTTAAATTCTTAACAAACTTTCTGGTAATAGTTGATTATTAGCATCATTAGGGTAAGGGTTAGGTTTAGGAGTAGGTTTAGGTTTCGGGATGAAGTCAAGGTTAGGGTTAGACTGAACAGATTCCGTCACACTCAATCTCATGTTCATTTGTATTTAATAATTATATTATTTATATATTTAATAAATATTTAATAATTAATAATCCTTTAACGTTAGCTAAAGACAGACTGAGCATCTACAAAACATTTACAGAAGACTATCAAAATAAAGTGTTACAGATTTGTGATCATTTTGTATAATAACTTTCTGTGAGGGAGGTTTTAGTGGCATTCAACCCTTCAGATGTCCTGTTCCCATTACCACCATTATGAACAATTCTGACCTGATAAGTTTCTCTAAAACACAGCTTTTCAAACCAAACCACTCTGAATGACTTTGTTGCATCCTAAAGATTTAATGATGCTTAGATGTGTCCCCTTTAATTAATTCCCGTTTAAGAAAGCAATGCTTTAGTTTGTGCTAGAGCTGACAATACACAACAATTCACTTTTCACAGTGAGTCACATTGTACATTAATTCATGCAATGCAAATCTAACATCATAAAATACTTTTTTTCCTCAACTTATCTGCCTCAGACGTTGATCAACAATTTAAAATCATTTCCAGCTCCATTCATCGTTCTGGACACAAGAAATTTCTTCACAGTTTATTTGAAACATGTGAATTTGCAATGCACAGGACAAACAGTGTATACAAGACTGCTATATCAGAATCATTTTATATATTTATTTACAACAAAATGGTTTTATATGTAGAAAAATGTGTAAAAACGGTGATACCAAACATTTGAACAGTAGAGTTACAGTATTGTGCAAAAGTCGTAGTTTGAAAATTGTGTAAAGGGGAATTTTACTGATTTTGCAATATTTCTGCGTAATTAAACATTAAGATGTAAACAAAGTAATTCTGAATATTTAGATGTGAAATGCGCTGTGTAGAATTGATTATAGTAGCAGTGATAGGGACCACATGTCCAAAGCCTGTAAAAGTTACCTCACAGAAAGTTACATGAAATGGTTACGAATACGCTGCCAAAAACTCAGAACATGTGCTGGTCCAGTTCATATTGTATGGTAAATAAAATGGCTAAATTTGCATTGTAGACATGGAGACCCCTGGTTCCTAACCCCACCTCTGCAAAGAAATCACACTTGGTAAGCTTCTCTACAAGGCCTCCATTTCACATTCAATCACTCTGAATGACTTTGTTTACATCTGAAGAACTGAAGTATTGGGAAATCTTGAAAAATCACTGGAAATCACCTTTAAAACTATTTGTCTGTATAAACTTTTGAAAGAAATTATTGATATCTTGGTTGGAAGAATTCAGCTAGACAAGCGCAAGTTTGTCTCCTGACTTATACAGAGAGCACATTTCTGCAGATGTTAATGCAAAATGACTGTTTATTTGCTGAATTTAACATATTGGGGAAAAAAAAACCTTAAAATGTGGCCCGTGCAAAAGTTATGGCACATTTTATATTTTATGTGTTTTTTCTCACATATGTTAAACTTAGCAAAAAATAGAAGTAGTGCACTAACATTTGCAGAAAAAAATGCAATATATAAAGGTATTCTCTGCAGAGGATGTGCTGACTTACTTTCGCTTTTTAAAATTCAACAAAAGCATAGCCGTTGTGCAAAACCATGACCAGATTTGCAGATCTGCCATGGACTTATGAAAGCATGAAGAAATTACAACTTCATGTGCAGCATCAAAAGCCTTCTGAGAGTGTGGGAAAAAGGAAAAAAAAGGTTTGTGAGGGGAGGGAATATGACGGGAAGCGATTGGAAAGAAAAAAAAAGGATTGCTGGAGAGGTGGAGATTGAAGATACCTTCAGGGTTGATGAGTTTATAAGATATTGAAAGTGAAAGTCAGTGCTGCTTTCCAGCAGGTGTATAAATAGAGCTGCATGTGGCCACCTGAGAACAAGCACCTGCACACATCTGCACCTGACGCTCAGAGAACACACAGACAGGCATGTCTACTACAGTGGCTGCTCTCCTGCTCTTTTCAGCAGTGTTCTGGGGCAAGACGGAAGGTAAGGCAAACACACACACTTACAAACAGTTGCATGTTCTTGTTTTTGAATGCACTCAACTGCTTTGGATTTACTCTATTTAAAAGTATGCATCATTTCCACATGAATGTAATACATTATGTCTGCACGTACTGTACAATGTAGGTAAACTGAAAGACAAAATGATGTTAAAGGGCCCATATCACTGAAAACTGATTAAGAATTTGATGCAGTATGCAAACACTACTAAAGTTTTAAAGCCTTACCTTTTACTTATCAGTCCATGTATTCCATATGTGTAAACAAAGCTCATTTTGAAGTTTTTCTGATGTCACAAATCTGACACATTTACATATATTTGCCTATTCAGCCTGCAGCAGTTTAGCTCCACCCATCCACATTGAAGCTATAGGAAATGTTTCAGCTCCAACTTCTTTACAACTACAGTACAGTGCAGCCAATCAGAGCAGAGATTTTTTTCAAGTATATTTCTTAAAGCGACTGTAGCAAAACCAGCATTTTTAGTTCTAAGGCAGAATGAGAGGTTGAAAAAAAATATATATATATGAAAAATATATTGTCATGTATTTTCAATATATCTCATTCGAGAACAAGGACAAGGGATGTGAGTTTGAATAAATGCTGACCTAATACAAAGCTACTTCTCAGGCCAGTAATTGCTGGCAACAGCATTTGAAACTGAAGCCCTATTGTACATGACATGAACTTGGCACAGCGCATCCACGTAGGCCGAAAAGGTCAACAACATTTCCATGTTCTGCACTTGGCTGTGTACTGAAAGACCTCTTTATGGGTCTTCCAGCTGACGGATTTCTTGTAATCCTAATTTCCTAATTCCCACACAGCGTTCCAGAAATCCTTGAAATCCATGAAATTGCAAGGAACTGATAGTCTAGCTTTCACTTTTCTCCAGATTTTGTCTGCTTGGTTCTCTTGGACCCCATGAACGTGCTCAGAGATGTGTAGTCTTTACTAACAGAATAACTGAGCATCCACTGAACTACACTTTTGCAATGGTTTCTCTCTAGCGTTCTCTGATGATGCCATGGACTGCTGTCTGTCGACTTCAGGACAATTGGTTCCACGTCACATTGCAGTGTCCTACATTGTGCAAGGCCCAGATACTGGCTGCTCCCTATCAGCTACTGTGTAAGTAGTTCCACGCCTCCACACAAACTGAAGCCCTAGCAAATATTGCCCTTTGAATATGCCATTAGAAAATTTTGGTTCCCTGGAGAAACTTGCAATGGTACTTTAAAGGAATTCTCCAGCCCTCCATCTCTGCTGTATTTGTAGCAAACAATCACCTACCACACTTTTACTTGTACATAGTAAATGAACAGAACATTAACTGACTCAAATCATATTCATAATAGAAGTCAGTGGGCAGCTGTTTCAGGTTTCTACTCTTGTATTGAGTAGAGGTGATAATCTGTGATAATTGACTGTATGCTGCAGATGCGGCATATAGAGGTCAGGTTGAAAAACACAGTTTCCCATTACAGAACCATCCTTTGAAAGGTTCTTTATGGAACCAAAAGTAGTTCAGTCCAAACAAACCTTTCTGTTCATCAAAAGAGTGCATGAAAACTCACCTTCTTTCTCTCTGTCTAGGTTCATCACAAGGAAAGGCAAGAGGCTATGTTCTCCACTTGCAGACGACAAAGCATATCCTTGGGTGGCAAAACTCATGGCACACCTGGAGAAGCTGCAAGAGAAAAAGGTGAGCACACTATCCTCTAAAGCAGTGGTCACCACCTCTTGTCATGGAGAGCTACCTTGTTCTCTAAATTAGATGCAGATTGGAACTAAACATTTTGCAGGAAAGTAGATCAGACCACATCATACATCTTTACATATCATCGTCACACATACAGTTTAAAAAGAAGGTCTGCCTCAATGTTTGGGTCTCAAATGCAAAATAAATATTATGCTGATGAAGATATGATGACAATAGTAAATAATTCGCTTAAAACCATTGGATGATTCATCTGCACCAAGTCTCTTTGAATACTCTTTCAATGCACTCTCAAGCATCAGATTCATCCTCTCAGAGAAGGAGTTCGAAACACTACCGACATTACAAATTCTTCTTTTGCACGTTGTGTGCAATTACTCATTTTCACCAGAGAGGTCCCCAAAATCCCCCAAACCTACTTAGTGAATCTTTAATGTAAATTATGTTAGAACCATTTTTCTTCTCCTTCCCCTGTAAGGTTACCAGTTCAGAGATACAAATGCTTTTTTGCTATAACAAGGTTGTATTTACCTGGCTGCAGTGACTTAGTTTTTCTGTCTCTCTCTTTCTATAGCAGAACAAAAGACAGTGAGTGAACAGGATCGAAACATCGGCCTAAACTGAGTGGAAGAACATCCAGGCCTTTGTGTCCATATGCTCTGTGCCGTCATCACAAAGTGAAAGAAGCTGCAACACTTTATCTGTTTTACTTTTCCGATTGTTTTCTCTTAATTGTTCACATTTCAGCAGTGATACACAAATGTCCTTATCATTATCACAACCGAAATTAAGCTTGTATGTGAGTTGGTGCGTGTGCATGTGTCCATGTGCACACCTCAAAGCTTTTTTAAGCAATAAATAATTGTATATGTTTTTCATGAATTGTGTGTATTTAGTTTTGAGATGAGTGAATTTAAATAAAGTTAGTTTGTTTTTGCACTTTATTAAATAAAGATGAAAAATATACAAGTTACTTTGCATTTTGTAAATTCAACATCACTCACAATTTCCATAAAACAACAGTGCACTCCTGTTACGGCAAACCAAAGGGAACGAAACTGCATGCGCGTAATAATAAAGTATGCATTCTAAACAGTGGAATTCCCAAAGTCAAACAGTAATTGTCTTCAAGGAAAAGGTGTCACAACAGTGTTTAATACACTGATGCTGAAACCGAGATTGTAACTGATAATTACAGAGTAAATAGATGTTTGCACCAGCGCTGCTTTAATTCTTTAAGAGAATCGAAAGCATCTTTCATAGAGCCTTGCATTCCTTTGGAGAGCTGGCATTATAATTTGAGAAAAAGTACCACACCATCTGGTCTTGATTGGAAAAATGCATTCGACACACAATAAGCAATACTGAATGTGCTTAAATCTGAAACTTATAAGACAGCTGGACAACTACTCAATACATGAGTGAGAAAGTGTGAAAAACACTTTCTTTCATTTTTATGCAAGATGTGGTTATATGTACTTGGCATACTTGCTTTGCACTTTTGCATAACTTTGCAGTTCTCTTGAGGTGTGTGAGTAATTAAGCCAACAAACTGGCATTCAGAGTGTGTAGCATGAGAGAAAGATGAGTGCTCAGTACTCACTGGTGCTACCCAGTGTCACTGTGATGTGGATTCATCTAGAGCGTCAATCGCTGTTAAATATGAACGTGTTGTGTGTGTGCTTGTTGTGTACATTTTCAGGACAAAATGGCCTAAATAAACAGAGAAAACCAGAGCTAAGCCAGAAGTTTCATGTTAAAAAAAAAACAACAAAAAAAAAACATTTGTTTTTTTTCCTGAGGTTAAGGATAGAGTTGGGTTTAAGTATATTACAAACATTTACTTACATATAAGCTATATAGTACATGTGCGATCGATATACAGTGGTGTACAAAGGTTTTAAAACTCCCAGTCAAATGCCATGTTTTGTTGATTTTGTAATTAAAAATTAGTTAAGACATCCTACATAAAGAACACATTTAATCAGGGTATTTTCTGTTTATTTGCTGAGTTTCACCCCTTAAATGGCCAGGACCCAGTGAGTTACTGTAGTTACTGAATAATAAGCCTTAGTATGTAACAAGCCTGGGATTTCAAGGGGTTAAAATCTCAGGCTTATTACATACTAAGGCTTATTATTCAGTAACTACAGGAAGTTCACTGCAAACTATTTGAACTATTTTTTATATATATATATATATATATATATATATATATATATATATGCAATACACATTGGATAAATTAAATTAATTTTACTCGTAGGCAATTGCGTAACATTGCTGTCTAGACAAACTTTTTTCTTCTTTATTTATTTCCTAATTTGAAAATGCCAGCTTTTCTCTATTGGGAAGTGGGGTTGTGTAGGTGTTTTGTGTGGGGGTGGTCACCGTCAGGGAGAAGTGTGTAGCTAGAAGTGACCTCCACTGCAAGTTCAGCGTGTTGGCATGTGCCTTTCTTGCTGTGGTCATAATATGCAGTGCTTTCTCGCAGAAGAAGTGTGGCGTCTTTTGTGTTTACTCCTCTATTATCAACCCCCCAATATAACATGCAAGGTATACGTTATTTTAGATATGTATTTAAACATTTATGCACGCATATGAGTCCACAATATCAAATTGTATCAAAGCAAGTGTGTGTCTGGTGCTTTTAAAGAGCCACTATTTATTAACAGCCACTTATTGTGTCTTGTGCAGTGGGACAATCGGTTAACCTTTGTTCCAGAGCACTGGGAATCCCCACTCACTTCAAAGAAAAGTACATGTGAGAGAATTTAAGGGAGGGACTGTACATAAAACGAAACCTACTGCTCTATAAAAAGAGACACTGTGAAGGAGAGGAGACAGAGGAAGAGAGGGAAACCTCACAGAGCAAGCCAATAGGAGGCTAACATCCTCAGCAGCAGACGACCCCTCTGAACTGTGCTGAAATACGCAACATCCTCTTTCATTGTCTGTCTGCGATGTCTTCCACGGGGGTTAGCAGTCTGTGTGTGGCTCTCTGGCTCACTGGACTCCTAAGCAGCAACTGGACAGGTGAGCTCTAATACACCCATCCATCATATACGACGGGGTATAAGTGTAGTGAATATCTGAATATCTATCCATCAGTGATGCAACATACCTATGTATTTGTTGCAAATATATATATATATATATATATATATATATATAGAGAGAGAGAGAGAGAGAGAGAGAGAGAGAGAGAGATGTTGCATCACTATATATACTATAGTTATCAGACACTATATATACATATATATATATATATATATATATATATATATATATATATATATATATTACTATGACATTATGTAAGAACTTTGTAAGTAACAATATAATACAGAATAATTTGTTGTCATTTACTGTTATGTTCTATGTTATGCATAGGACTTTCTGCATAGACATTGTAGGTTAGTCTAACCTGGCTTTATTTCTCTATCAAAGATATTTTGTGCAACTTGGATGAAAAAACAAGAAAACATCTCTTCGATTGATTTAGGTTTCATCAATATCAATCTTCCTTCTTCACTGCTCTCATATTTTGTAATATATATAGTTCAAACCTAGACAGAAAGTCTGTTTCTATGTGGAATGTTTACTGTAAGGAGAACATTATTGTGCCACGTGGAGTCTTTATGTGCCTTTATGTCCCATCACATTAACTGCTCTGGTGCAGTCAATGGAATATTGTGGCTATCATGAAAGTCAAGCAGAGCTATCAGTGCTGTGGAATTGAGAGCCCTGATATAATTTTAATGGCTGCTGCTTTGCCAAAGGGAGACCACCCCCACCATGAATCTGCACTACAGATGTTGAATATAGGGTTGCAAAACACTGACCACACACAGACACACACACTCACACATACATAAACCCAGACACACTTTCATTTTCACTGACCAACAAGAATTCAGAAACTGGCAGAGGCATATATTTTTCTTTCACCTTCATCCTGAGATAAATCACAACATTCCTAACCATTTTCCTCCTTTAGTTTACCAACCAGTACAGACAGACAGAGCTACAAAGCTGATTCCTACACCTATGTTTCTCACTCTCTCACTCTCTCTCTCACTCTCTCTCTCTCTCTCTCTCTCTCTCTCTCTCTCTCTCTCTCTCTCTCTGTCTCAGTGTCCTTTGGGGATCAGGCAGTGGACTGCTGTTTGTCAGTCAGAGATCTTTCTATTCCACATCAAGTTCTTGTCGGCTACCACAAGCAACTCAAAGAGAATGGATGCTCCATCGATGCTATCTTGTGAGTATCTCGAGCAGAAAACAAGGTTTTATGTTCATTAAACAGTTTAACCTATGGGATAAAAGGCTACCACCGCCATTTAAATACTCAGCTCCACTTGATTAATTTTCCTCTTCACAGTTTATATAATGCTTCAGTCTGATAACTCAGCTAAAGACTGATGCATTTAAAAAGGGGTACAGAAAAGTGTTTAGAACCTTTTTGGATGTACCGTTAAAGCTAGTTGTTTGGTGCCTGATGAAGAACATCTTAGATCTTAATGTATTACTTTCTTTCCAGTTCTAGCAGTGGCAGTAATGGGTGACTGTCTTTACCTTTTAGATTCCAAACCAAGAAGAACAAGGTTCTGTGCGCTCCCCCTGATGCCCCGTGGGTCAAAGAACGGATGAACTGGCTGGACAAAGAACTGAAGAAATGCCAAAAGAACGGGTTCAAGGTACATAATGTGCAGGTTCAAGGTACATAACGTACAAATGAATAGGTCAATGTTGCATCTGTAGCACGTGGCTGATTACCAGACACAACAATTTGATAGAAAACCTAGTAATTCATGATGGAAGTCAAAGGACAGATGCTTATCATGGAAGGCAATGGGCAAATACTTATTAGGGAAACCAATGAACAGATGCTTAGAGTTTAGGTAGAAAAATGCTAGAGAATTTCTTTAAAAAAAAGTCTATTCTGTGTTCATTTGTTTTCCTTTCTTTTATTTTTTCATTTGAGTTCTATGTATTGGAGCTATTTGTTTTTAATAATAAATATATAAATTGGTGTAAAACAAAACATTCACACATACTGCTTGAGTATGAATCAGTAGAGGAGAAACTCAGCCCATGAAAGACATTATCTATTATCCAGTTTTGTCTAGAGCTCAGAGTACTAAGTCATGCCCCATCATGCTTATCTGAACTGCATCTTGGTTTATTTTTCTACCAGATTAACCCTCACATTGTTTTCATTTATCTTGGTTTCAATCTGACTTAACTTCATTCAAATAGAAACCATTGTACGCTTAAATTGTAAACCGCAGACCACAGGCCATAACTTTTCACCACTGAAAACCACTGACCCCACGCGTCAGTCAGTGTGCTGATCCTCTTCTGTTTCTCTGTGTTGCAGGGGAAGCGCTGTCAAGCCATGAAACCCACGTCTGCTTGAAAGAACGCACAGTGGTGAACAAAGCTGGAGGTTAAAGTGATCATGGCAGCTAAACAGCTAAATTATCAATGTTGTCTTTTCTTTAATGACATGCCTGAAAAAATGTTTCTGCTCTGCATTGCAATGTTTCACTTTATGTTTCTGTAGTACAAATAAGCTTTTTTACTACTTTCATATTCCATTATCTGTTTTCTAAGAAACTCCAAAGATTTGTCATCATTATTGTTCTGTTACTTGTAGATGAATCAATAAATGATTGAAGTTTAAGCAAGGCACAAGTCTCTTCTCTGTTCTCTTTGATAATAATAAATATGTTTATACTGTTTGTTATAATGTAATGTAATTTATAATAATACAAATTACTAAACAAAAATATTTATAGCAATAACGATAAACAGTAGTAACGATATAACTATATAAATGTGTTTTTTCCTCAGAAGAAATGTTCAAAGGACAATTTTCCCACCACATTTTCAATTAAGATGATGGAAAGCATGTCTTTCCACACAGATTGTAGTGTTTGCCGCTATTAAAGGAGACACACCGCTTCTGCACAAGTCGTTGTGCTATATTAAGGGCTGAAGTCGGTCACAGGCACAACATACAATAAGCTTGATTAGGTTAACTACTTGGTCTAGCATTGGCTGACGTCTGCACTTTCCGCTTCCAAGTTCCCACTCACACCATCCTTCGTATTGTAACGCATAAACATGGAAAGCTAGCCCTGCCTTCACAGTAAGAATTTTTGTCAGACTAGACACAGGAAATAACTGCTAGAGAATAAAAACCCAGAATTTTCATGCATAACATGTCTTGAATACGCTACAACACTGCAATGGCAGTCAAATGGAAAGCTGTGTGAAGCCATGATTCTGTTCAGAGAACAGTAGTTTTGTTATACTTAAAGCAGAAAAGTACATAATATCCAGATATCCAGCCAACCTGTGGGGGAGGTCACCACCAACAGCACACTCTACTCTACCGTTGTCCCCCACCCCAACACACACACACACACACCACACATATAATACAACCCCATTTCCAAAAAAGTTGGGACGCTGTGAAAAATGTAAATAAAAACAAAATGCAATGATGTGCAAATCATTTAAACCCTATATTCCATTGAAAGTAGTACAAAGACAACAAATCAAATGTTGAAACTGAGATTTTCTTTATTGTTTTTTTGATAAATATATGCCCATTTTGAATTTGATGCCAACAAAAAGTGGGGAGGGGGGCATGTTTACCACTGTGTTTCATTACCTTTTCTTTTAACAACACTCTGTAAGGGTTTGGGAACCGAGGAGACACTGCTGTAGTTATGAAAGTGAAATGTTTTCCCATTCTTGCTTTATATAGGATTTTAGCTGCTCAACAGTTCAGGGTCTCCTTTGTTGTATTTTTCATTTCATAATGCACCAAATGTTTTCAGTGGTGACAGGTCTGGACTGCAGGCAGGTCAGTTTAGCACCCAGACTCTTTTAATACGGAGCAAAGCTGTTGTAATACATGCAGAATGCAGTTTGGCATTGTCTTGCTGAAATAAGCAAGGCCTTCTCTGAAAAAGATGTCATCTGAATGGCAGCATATGTTGCCAAAACATGTATATATCGTTCGGCATTAATGGTGCCCACACGTCACCCATGCCATGCACACTAAAGCACCCCTATACCATCATGAAAACTGGCTTTTGAACTGTGCACTGATTACAAGCTGAGTGGTCTTTACCCCGGAGGACACAGTGTCCATGACTTCCAAAAAGAATTTAAAATTTTGATTTCTTGGACCACAGGACACTTTTCCACTTCACCTCAGTCCATTTTAAATGAGCTCGAGCCCAGAGAAGGTGGCAGCATTCCTGGATCCTGTTTATATATGATTTCTTCTTTGCGTTTTAGATTTTTAACTCGCATTTGTGGATGCAGCGATGAACTGTGTTCACAGACAGTGTTTTTCAAAAGTGTTTCTGAGCCCATGCAGTGATTTCCACTACAGAATCATGTCTGTTTTTAATGCAGTGCCACCTGAGGGCCTAAAAATCATGGCCAGCCAATACTGGTTTTTGACCTTGTCCCTTGCATACAGAGATTTCTCCAGATTCTCTGAATCTTTTAATGATATTATGTACTATAGATGATGAAACGCAAAAGTTATTTGCTATTTTATGTAGAGAAATGTTATTTTTGAATTGTTGCACTATTTGATCATGCAGTCTTTCACAGAGTGGTGAACCCTCCCCATCTTTACTTCTGAAAGACTCAGCCTCTCTGGGATGCTCTTTTTATACCCAATCATGTTACTGACCTGTTGCCAATTAACCACCAGGTGTTTTTTTTTCTGCATTACACAACTTTACCAGCCTTTTGTTGCTCCCGTCCCAACTTTTTTGGAACGTGGTGTTGGCATCAAATTCAAAACAGGCATATATTTTTCAAAAAAACAATAAAATCTCTCAGTTTCAACATTTGATTTGTTGTCTTTGTACTATTTTCAATGAAATATAGGGTTTAAATGATTAAATGAACATGAATAGTGCCTTTTTTAAGTAGGCCGCATGCCTCCCATGAGCCTCTTCATGCTATGCCAGCTCCTGGTTGGCAGTGTGCCTCGTGGCCATCGCCACAGTTCTAACTTTATTAGCTATCTAAAACAACCAGTGATCCCCCACATTTTCTCTGTACGACAGCATTTTAGGGCTACTGTTAAAAATAAAAAAAATAATAGACTTTGAGAATAAAGTCATAAATTTGAGAAAAAAGCATTTTTAAAGAATATATCAAGAATAAAGTTGTAATATTTTGACAATAAAGTCGTAAAATTACATGAATAAACTTGCTGTATTTCGAGGATAAAGTGGGCTAATTGTAGGAGGGCTGCAATAACGCATTGGGGTCTCAGTTGCTGTACTGGCGACGACAAAGATGCTGAGCGCGTACGGAGTTCCACTCACTCCTTCGAGATCGATCATTTTGATTATCGTTCTCATTGTCTCCTGTGAAACTACATGCTCTCTTTGAATGGCACGGAAATGTAACCACCAATAGCCGTGTAGATGATCCTGCCTGCGATTCTCCTTCAACAAAACAGACAGTTTCCTCCGAGTCTGTCTGGTTCTTTATTCTAAGTAAAAACAGTTTTCTGTCGTTTTAGACGTTTCTTATACTAATAACAATCTGGTGCTAATGTGCCAGAAGACTGAATATTTCTTTATGGGAGAAATCAATACAAAATTATAACCCTACGAACTCCCCAACGCCCCTCGTTTAAACAAGTGAATTTGTTCACAGGCGGATCTTGACCGCTCCAACATGGCAGATCCGCAAGACATATCGCCTCAGACAGAGAACAATAGACAATGTGGCACATAGGTAAGTATATCTATGGGCAGAAAGCACTAAAGAGAGAAGCAAAAAAGAGAGGTGAGTAAAATGTTTTGTCAAAGCTGTCTGTCTAAGTGTGCTACATTAGTTGTATAGTAATAACAGTCATGTAGGCTAGAGTTATTGAGAACGTATTGCATTCCAAAGTACGTTATATATCTACGCACATGTATAATGTTAGCTAGCTAACGCAGAAATCCCATCCTAGTGGTGGCATGACATTTGTTTTGTGCTCCATAGTTATTTCCAAAATGAAAAGGAAAAGTGCTATTTGCGCTTCTTCCAGAAAACAGACAATCATGCAGGAAGTCAGACAGAAACAGATCTTTCAGGTGGGGAAGAGCCACCACACAGGCTGAGCAGTAAGAATGGTCAATTGGAGAAACTGGTGATCAATGAGGACAAAGTAGCGGGTAGAGACAGATAGACATTCTGGAAGTAAGGCTGAGTGTGAGACACAGAGAAATTTGAGGGAGGAGGAGTTTCAAGGCAGCCTAGTACAATATCCACCCCTGACTTGAATATTCAAAAAAACTGACTCAGCGTACAGCTTTGCATGCAGACATTTAGTCCTCCCAAAAGCTTACAGAACACAATGAAAATGTAACTGAAAACTGCATAAATAAAATGTTGAATGGTATCAAACACTGACTTTTGCATCTTAATGCCTGCATTGCACAATAAGGTGAAAAGTAATTGGCCCCTCTAACATAGCCACTGGTCCCAGCCTGGCCCCCCCAGTTCAAATGGTCTAGAACCGCCACTGGCCAAAACACATTACAAAACCAACAGGAACCAACAGAAACACTTATAGGTTTCTATAGATTTTTTTTCAGCAGGCATATCAAACTACTCTGAATGGCTTGGTTTACATGTGAACGATTTAAATAAGCAGAAATTCTGAGAAGGTGGGAGAATTCCTCTTGAGCTTCACAGGCTATCCCTTGATCCAGGCCACCAGTTGGCGATAATGCAGTAATGGTTTCACCCACAGCTTCCAGTGTTTCCACAGAAGAAAAAACGCCACGCAAATCTTAACAATGTCAACAAAACGACCACCTGTCTGTTTTAATATTCTGTCCCAGACTTTATTTGTCTTTTTGTTGCTTTTTAAAGAAGAGGCCGCATACAGTGACGGTAAGATATGCTTTTGATTTGGGCAAAGGTGCCATAATGTAACTGTTGCACCATTTGAGGTGGAACAGGAAATGCATTCCCTTCCAACTGGCGTACATGATGTCAACTTCAGGAGACTTTAGTCAGGTTGCCTAGTTCACCTTAGTTAACAGATTATTTTTAAACAGAATAAGATGTTGAATAATTTTACATAGTTACATTGATTGCTTGTGATATTTTTGACCTTGGTCAGTCGTTTGTCACTTGTACATGTCAGTTCAGTTCACTTCAGTTTTGTTCAGATAACGTTCAGTTTAATTCAGCTTTAAGGAAATCCGAGATTAGCCCCCTAATGATTAAACCGAGGGCAACAGTGACAGAAAAAAGAGCACGAAAAAGAAACAGTAAGAGGTTCCAAGATCAAAAAGAGGAACCATCCATGCCCTCTATATTGGACATACACTAACTGAGCACTTTACACCCACCTTGTATCTTACCCCACTTACCATATAGGAGCCCTTTTAGTTCTGCAATTACAGACTGTAGTCCATCTGTTCCTCTGCATACTTTGCTAGCTTCCTTTTACACTGTTTTTCAATGGGCAGGACCCCAATAGGACCACCACAGAGCAGGTTTCCCAGACACAGATTAAACCTAGTCCTGGACTACATTTTCTTTTCATTGGAGGATCTCTGTTTAGAGTGCTGTATGGTCCGAGACTAGGCTTCATCTCTGTCACAGAAACTGACCCAGTATGTCCTAACGTTTGCAGACAACTGCTCATTCGATGTTTCTTTTGAAATCAAAGGTATTCATATCATATTCATATTATTATTCATATTACTTAATATCAATTTCATCCTAATTGTTTATGAAAAAAACAATATTTCTATTCTGAATGAACCAAAATGAAAAATGTTTGCTTAACCCTTATTCCATGAAAATGAACTAAATTAAAAAATAACTTTTTAAGTAGAGATCAGCTGCAAAAACGCAGATGGCTAATACATTTTTTGGCTGTTGTTTTATTTTATGGGGTAAATAACATGAGCTAGGTAAGTGCTCTCGCGCTGCATTTGAATGCTGCCACGTCTGTATTGTAACAATATAATAACAATATAATATCTCTCCTTCAGAGATGGCACATAGTTGCATATAACAACATATAGATGTTATAATACAAACATAATATTGATATTATAACAGATGTAATTTTGAGAACCATGTAACAAGTAGGAACTGTAATTAGTAATAAGATAAATACAGAATAATAACAGTTAAGTCATTTTATGACATATACTGGTTTATATTTAATAACATTATTTTAATATGTTTAAATGGCTTTCCTTTAAAAAGAATTAAAATTGCTTTCCAAGAATCACAAGTCCTAGCAATTTTCCTCCTTTAGATTACTAACCAGTACACACAGATAAAGCTGATTCCTATAGCTATGTTTTTCTCTCTCTTGCTCTCTCTCTCTTTTCTGTCTATATGTTCTATTTCTCTTTCTCTCTCTTTCCCTTTCTGTCTTCTTCCATTCTCATTCTCTCTCATTTCTTTCTTGCTTTCTTTCATTCACTTTCTTTGTCTTTCTTTCTTTCTTCCTTGCTTCTCTCTATATTATATTTTCTCTTTCTTTGTCTCTCTTTTATTTCTCACTTTATGTCTTACTCTTTCCTCTCTCTTTTCTGTCTCTCTATTTTATTGCTCTCTCTCTATCTTTATCTTTTCCCAACTTTCACTCTTTCTCTTGCTCCTATCAATCTCACCGTCTGTTTGTCTGTCTCTTCTCACTCCTTTTTTGTTTATCTCCTCCTTTTTCACTGTCTTTTATTTCTCCCTGTTTGTCTTTCACCCCTCTCTCTCTTTCTCTCTCGCTTTCTCACTCCCTGCCCCCCCCCCTCTCTCTCTCTCTCTGTCTCAGTGCCCTTGGGAGATCAGGCAGTGGAATGCTGTTTGTCAGTCAACGATCTTTCTATTCCACATCAAGTTCTTGTCGGCTACCACAAGCAACTCAAAGAGCAAGGATGCTCCATCGACGCTGTCTTGTGTGTATCTCGAGCAGAATACAAGTTTCTATGTTCATTAAACAGTTTAATCTATGGGATAACAGGCTAAGTTTAGTGACAACATGCCCCACAGATGGGAAATGCAACAAAGTGAACACTGTAAAGCCATGGAACACATAACCCATATATAATCTAAACACTACCATTTACATCCTCAACTCCACTTGATTAATTGTCCTCTTCACAGTTTCTGTAATGTTTTGGTCCAATAACTAAACACTAACACGTTTAAAAAGTGATACAGAAAAGTGTTTAGAACCTGTTTTGATGTACCGTTAAAGCTAGTTGTTTTGTGCCTGATGAAGAACATCTTAGATCTGAATGTATTACTTTCTTTCCAGTTCTAGCAGTGGCAGTAATGGGTGACTGTCTTTACCTTTTAGATTCCAAACCAAGAAGAACAAGGTTCTGTGCGCTCCCCCTGATGCCCCGTGGGTCAAAGAACGGATGAACTGGCTGGACAAAGAACTGAAGAAATGCCAAAAGAATGGGTTCAAGGTACATAATGTGCTCAATTTCAAGCCTATGTCATAGTTAAATGAATAGGTCAATGTTGCATCTGTAGCACGTGGCTGATTACCAGACACGACAATTTCTCTGTGATAGAAAACCTAGTAATTCATGATGGAAGTCAAAGGACAGATGCTTATCATGGAAGGCAATGGGCAAATGCTTATTAGGAAAACCAATGAACAGATGCTTAGAGTTTAGGTTGAAAAATGCTGGAGAATTTCTTTAAAAAAAAGTCTATTCTGTGTTCATTTGTTTTCCTTTCTTTTATTTTTTCATTTGAGTTCTATGTACTAGAGCTATTTGTTTTTAATAATAAATACATAAATTGGTGTAAAGCAAAACATTCGCACATACTGCTTGAGTATGAATCAGTAGAGGAGAAACTCAGCCCATGAAAGACATTATCCATTATCCAGTTTTGTTTTATCTGAACTGCGTCTTGGTTTATTTTTCTACCAGATTAACCTCCACATTGTTTACATTTATATTGGTTTCAATCTGACTTAACTTCATTCACATAGAAACCATTGTATGCTTAAATTGTAAACTGCAGACCACAGGCCATAACTTTTCACCACTGAAAACCACTGACCCCACGCGTCAGTCAGTGTGCTGATCCTCTTCTGTTTCTCTGTGTTGCAGGGGAAGCGCTGTCAAGCCATGAAACCCACATCTGCTTGAAAGAACGCACAGTGGTGAACAAAGCTGGAGGTTAAAGTGATCATGGCAGTTAAACAGCTAAATTATCAATGTTGTCTTTTCTTTAATGACGTACCTGAAAAAAAAATGTTTCTGCTCTGCATTGCAATGTTTCACTTTATGTTTCTGTAGTACAAATAAGCTTTTTTAACTACTTTCATATTCCATTATCTGTTTTCTAAGAAATTCCAAAGAATTGTCATCATTATTGTTCTGTTACTTGTAGGTGAATTAATAAATGATTGAAGTTTAAGCAAGGTGCAAGTCTCTGCTCTGTTCTCTTTGATAATAATAAACATGTTTAGATACTGTCTGTTATGGTGTAATGTAATTTATAATAATACAAATTACTAAACAAAAATATTTATGGTAATAACGATATACAGTAGTAACTATATAGCTATATAAATGTGTTTTTTCCTCAGAATGTCACGACTCCCTTTGGCTCTGAACTCTTTTTGGACTCAATCTCCCAGAATCCCCTGGGAGATCACGTGAATGAATCCCCTGGGAGATCCAGCGCTCCAGTTCCCCAGAGTACTGATCTGTAACACCTGGTCTTCTCTGATTAGTTTAATTTAAAGCCCGGGCTTGTAGATACATTCATTGCAAGGTATTGCTTCTTTCTACAGAGCCATGTATTCTTGATTGTGTATTCCTGATTGATTGTATATTCCTGATTGATTGTGTATTCCTGATTGTGTATTCCTGATTGATTGTGTATTCCTGATTGTGTATTCCTGTTCTGACCTGTTTTGCCTTGTTTTTGACCTGCCTTTTGCCTTATCCCTTTTGGACTGTTCACCTGGTTATGTTTGTGTTTTTGTGTATATTGCCTATTCTGGATTTGACCATTGCCTGTGACCTGACTATGATTGTGGATTCTGTTTGCACTAGTAAAGCCTCTCATTCACTTTTTACCCACGAGCGTCTGCGTCATTCTGTCGCTTTACACAGAAGAAATATTTAAAGGAGATTTTTCCCACCTTTTAATTGAGATGTAAACAAAGCAATTTAGAGTGGTTTGACATGAAATGGTGCATTGCAGAGGAACTTCAACTCTGATTTCTTTGCAATGGTTTTAATAGGAAGCATGTCTACAATGCAAATGTACACTTTTTATTAGTGATCCCCTGCATGTCTTTTGAGTTTTATAATATAGACAGAATAGTAAAACACTGGCAAAAAAGTGTTGTCTTTGTGTACTTTTTTAACAATGCCCTGCATGAAACAAAGTCTTTGTAACCATTTCTTTCTATAATGTCAGTTTTAGAAGCATGAAAGGATAATTCCACCAAGTTTCTGAATAATTCAGTCCTTGAGCTGTAAACACGCTCTATCAGAGTGATTTGATGTGAAGTAGTTAATTACAGAGAAACTTACAGACTCTGATTTCTGTACAGTTAGGGGTGACACTTTACTTGGATGATCCACTGTAGATGGCTTGTAGATGCTCAGTATATCTTTAAGTAACATATAACTAAAAATCTATTAAATGCAACTGAACTTTAAGTTGAGTGTGAAAGATTCTATTAAATCGATCCCCAACCCTAAACCTAACCCTAACCTCAAAGCAAAACCCACACCTACTCCTAAGCTTAACCCTACCCCTAATGTTGTTGATATTCAACTGAGCATTACCAGAAAGGTTTTTAATGATTTAAGTATCTGTAGATCATCTGTAGGGGACCATCCAAATAAAGTGTGACCCAGTTAGTAGAGAAAAAAAATCCCCCAAAAGGCCTTAGATTTTGTGATACCTCCACCTGAGGCAGAACAAACCACAACCGAGTTATGAAAAAAATCCTTTCCTTGCTATCTGGCGTAGAGAAAGTCAATTGTGTTACTCTGGTTATCATGATCATCCAAACTCCATTAAGCAACATGAGAGACAAAGGTGTGAAGCAATCGGGGATGGACCAACATATATAACGTCAGGAAGTACAGAAGTCCCAAACCACAGGACATTTCTGACAAGTGGCAGTAACAAAGCTATGCTTTCTGCATTTGTTTGCCATTACAACACAATCTCAGGACCACGTAGATCAATGAAGACCAGACAACTGTCTGGGCTGGAGGTTTTGAAAAAGTCGAAGAGACTAAAAGTATTTCAAAAGACAAAGTGGTGAACCTACCTGATTTAAGCCGCGATAATGAGGAGACTGACATAAAAGTAGTGATACACGCCATCCACCTTTCCAAGACACATGCGAGAATATTCATCAGGTGTGATAACAAGCAAGTCGCAGCACGTTTGACTCCACTTTGGTCTTCGTGCACAAAGGCCATGCTGGCAAGGAGAAGATAGTGCCAGTCAGTACAGTCTACAAACACCTGGGAAAAGCGTTCTGCCAGTGTCTTCCTGCATGCCATGCACTGATAGGATGAGACACAACAAGCAATTTTTTTGCTTGTCACAAAAAAGCAACTTCTGTCACAACACTTGAGAGGCACTTGGGAGAGCTGACTGGCTTAAGTCACTTTGGTTTGAGTGGAAACCTGGAGGTTCATTTATTGCCTGTGGCCAGACTATACATTCTGATGCTGTATGGACAAAAGAAAAACAAGCAAGGCAAAATGTCTATCACTCTTGATGCTTCCACCTCTGACATGCCTGCCTCTCATCTTCACCCCACAGAGGATGTATTTAGACAGCATGCACTGAAACCCATGTATCAAACTGTTATTTGGTGCCACAGCCATCACTGTAACCAAAAGCCAGTGCTTTGGAGTTCTGTGGGGAAGGACTGGAGGTTGACAGAAGGAATGATGGAGCCTGTTACATATGACACACAGTGGTGGACAGTAACTAAGTAAATGTAATTCGTTACTGTACTTAAGTAGTTTTTTTTTGTATCTGTACTTTACTTAAGTATTTCCATTTTGGGCGACTTTTAACTTTCACCTCACCACATTTCAAAGTCAAATATTTTGCTTTTTACTCCACTACATTATGTGAAATCTGTCATTCCTTTTGGCTTATGTGTGTATAAAAACATAATGTCAAAACAAAAGAAGCGCAAAGAAAGCACACCAATCAGGAAACAGCACGCATTTTGTTTTGAGCTTCTTTTGACCTGTTGGACATACCAACCCGGTGCAAGCATATGGTTCAACGTCAGTGCAGCAGCGTAAAATTTTTACATTTTAAAACTTAAATGATGGACCTAACCATCATAGACCACAATATAGAAATATGTACACATGTGCAGTTGTGACTGCCATGAGTCTTTTTTCTGAATTTATATAAACACTATTTCATTTTATGGTAAATTTGTTTTTGCTAGTTTATGTTTATGAACAGAAACCTACAGATGCAATTTAGTAAAGGAGGACACATTTGTGAACCTGAGTTTAAGGCAAGTTTTTATTAAACTTAAACTTGTAACTAAGTTGCCAATAAATCTTAAACCGAAACTTTGCTTGTTTGCAAAATTATAGTTATTTCAGAGCCACTTGGTTCTACCTAATGGAAATTGTTTGCCTTCAGTGTTTTGTGCTTATGATAATTTTAATAGACAACAGTGATACTAATTAATGACATTCAGTTAAAAGATTGGTTTACCAAGAGTTACAGTGGAGTATTTTCACCTAAGATGGGTTAATGAAGCAAGAGTCTTGTTATAAATATGATAATAGGACTATAAAGTCATAATTAATCTTTTAGTACTTTTACTAAAATACTACAAATATCTGTCAAAACAGATCTATCTGTTGCTAATATTTACGTAGATCTGCAATGTATCTCCAAGGAAACAAAATCTTAAAATTAAATGTATGTAGTTTTTTGGATGTTTTGTGTCCTTCTCTCAATGTATGTACCCCAGTAGGGCCCTTTGTATTTTTCACTGTTCAGTGCTGGTGGCATTGGATGTCTGTTAGGGGCTAGTGATATCAGAAGGTTAACTGAATAGTCAAACATTGTATTTTCATGAGAAGATAACAGTTTGTAGTACTTCATAATTACATTATATGGTTATTGTTGTCCTTATTTTTTTTTAAATTACAGGCATATACATGGAATTATTATAAGTATTAGCGGTACAAGTAAGTCTATTCACTTTCCACATATATTAAATGTATATTTAAGGGCTTATATTTTTTAAATTGTCAGATATATTGGTGACTTTCATATTTCCTGTGGATATCCAAATCTGGTGAGTTTCTGAACATTATTCTCAGAGAAACATGTGAAAAAGCAGATGCTGTTCCTTTTGTAAAATCCAAAATTTTCAAAATATCATCCAAATACTGTTTTCGCAGTAAAATATTTTTATACAGCCAACAATTTCATAAAACTGACATATCAAAGATATGAAAAAAAAAGGTTGTGCTTTGTTGTACCTTGGGTGGAGGTACGTCAACTTCTGTGAACCCACATGTGCCTTCTGAGTTTTTATGTGTAATATAATAAGTTTTCTTTGGTGACTATTTTGCCTCAGAATGCCCCGCATGCACCACTCTGTCATGAACGGATTGAAATAAATGGATAAAAATACATTTTAAGCCAAAACTTTATCACATAACTATCATAAAACACTGTGTCAGACATCAGGTGTATTATTTATCTAACAATTTTCTGTAGTAAATTTGTATGAGGGAGCTTTCAGAGGCCTTAAACACTTCTGATGTCTGGGATCACAGGGCAGCCTGTGAAGCTAAGGAGAAATTCCACCAGCTTCTCATAATTTCAGTTAATTGAAATGGGAACTCCACCAATTAAAAAAAAAATCTACAAAATTTAATGGTTCACATGTAAACAAAGCCATTCAAAGTATTTTGATGTGAAATGTTCCGTACTGGAGAAACTTGCCGAGTCAGAATTGTTCACAGTGGTGGTGATGGGGACCGTGGACCGTCTTACAGACACTTGTAAAAGATTTGACAGGTCCAGATAAGAATTTTCACGGAATCCTATCTTATCTCACAGCATCTCATCTCACCTCCATTCAGGAAATCTTAACCTGGATCGAAGTCGACAATCAACTGTCATGTCTGTTACCTTGCAACCTACCATACATGCATAGCTGAAAGATCAACACGTAATCAAAATTATGTCAATTATTAGTCAGCCAAAGAGCTAAAGTTTACTGTTGTTTCTAAGGTAAAAAAAAAAAAAGATCAAAGAAAACTAAGTCAAGAAGTCAAGGATGTTCTGACAGCGCTCGGTGCTGTTTATCAGAGCGTCTCCAGTTTCAGTTTCAGTTTCCCAAATGCTTTAGCCGACTGTGCTAACCTTATTCCTCCCAATAAGCAGACACATGTTCAGCCATGTTGCCTCGTTATTCACCACCACACTGTAATATTTTATCTGATGAGTTTTCATCAACATTAACACACAAAGGTAATAGGAGGGGACTGGAGTGTCTGCAGTGTCTGGGGCTTTTAAAACGCTGGTAGAAAAATAAACCCACTTAAGTAAAAGCACCGTTTTCATAAATGTAATGTCATTACGCTAGTTATAGTGAACTATGCTGCTTGTCCCTGCACAAAACGATGGAAACAGTCGGTTAAAACAGACGTTAACACACCTTTGGGGTTGTCTTAAAGTTAGGACAGTATTTAGGAAATTTTGCCATGTTGTTTCTGTAATACTGTTTTCTTTTCTGGAGTTAGCATAAGATGAACTTAAGAACTGGTGTTCTGTAGCAGCTTCTGTGCTAATTTCAGTCCTAACTGAAGCTGGCATTGTAACTCAGCAGATAAGATTTCAGACTTAACGAGTTTGTGTAATACAGCCCCAGGCCACCAGTTGGCGATAATACAGTAATGGTTTCACCCACGGCTTCCAGTGTTTTAACGGAAGAAAAACACCACACAATTCTCAACAATGTCAACAAATCGACCCCCGGCCTGTTTGAATGTTGTATCCCAGACTTTATTTGTCTTCGTGCTGCTTTTGAAAGAAGAAGCCGTATGC